GCGGACCCACTCAGAGTTTTCCACAGCTGAACTCTCCCTTTCCTGCGCCTCCTCCATCACTTCTCCATCCCGTCCCATCTTGAAGGCATTAGCGGCAGGGGGGTTGCCTTGCCGCAGATTAACTGTTCCATGAGTTGGGAAGCCCGTGCCGTCCCTCCTGCTCTGCATGCCAGGCTCGCCCGGCCTCACACCTTCCTTCCCCTTCTCAGCTCCAGGTTTTGTGCATCCGAGCATCATATATAGGAGAAAAGTGTAAATTGGAAGCCAATAATACATAAGGGGCGTGTGGCAGAAATTAAAAACCTGGAGATAAAGAATATTTATGGAAGAAGTAAAACCACCAGGCTGATGCCCAAGATGGTCCGAGCAGGACTGTGAATTTGGTGGGTGCAATGAAGCAAGTTGTTACTCCCAATTGGTGGGAAAACAGCTGTACTATGAGCCCATGCTCACCCCTTCCCTAAAAATCCTGCAATCCCGGTGCAGCTTCCCACATGATGCTCCAGACCTTGCAGGTTTAAGCATCTCCAGCAGATTTGCCTTGGCAGCATCGCAGGTTATTCTGCGGGAAATGGCACAGTATTGAGGAAATGCATAGGAAGTTATTTGCATCCCCAGTGACTTCCCAGGCGTGAATCCCGGGATGCAGCGCGGATGTGATGGGTAGGGTTAAAGCCTCTGACGCTCCAGAGTTTTATACTGTGTTTTGAAGCACAGCTGCTACCTGCAGTCGCTCCAAGCGCTGCAATAACAGCGCGTTCCTGCGGTGCTGCCCAAAACGCCAGCAGCAGCGCGCCGTGCACTCGGGTAACATTCACGTGAGGTGAAACCAGTTAAAACAATATGGAAAGAAATTGCATATTCTGCCACTGGATCCGACGTGTTATTTTGCTGCCTGGTAGGAAACTCCCTGCGGTTTCCAGTGCCGACACTTGGGGCCAGGACATCAGGAATGGGAACAGAGCTCGGCCTGAAACGCCCGAGGGCTGCAAAGCAGCAGCGTGGTCTCCATTTCCCTTGTTCCAGAAGCAGCACGGATACTCCCCAAGCATTTCCACAAACACACTGCTTTATTTTTTCAAGCTTTTTTTCCAGGATAAAAGTTAAAAACACATCCTCAGGCATATTGCTACGCTGCTCTGAGCAGTCTGTGATTTGCTCCTTGAATTCCCTTTTTGGTCTTTGCTGTCCCCGGGAGGAGACATGGAAAGGAAGAGGGGAGCTTGTTTGCTTCTTATTTTGTCCATGCAAAATCGGTGCAGCTGGTGGCCTCGTGCAGGCGTCTGTCGTGCTGCGTCACGCAGGGCCCTTTCTCTGGAAAGAAAACACGTTTAAACCACAGTTTATAAATCCCAGCACTAGAAGAGGCTTGGGACCAACCTGCAGAGCGGGCCGGTGGCTCCGAGCAGCCCTTGAACTCTGGGGAACATCTGCACGCTCCCGCAGCTGGCACGTCACCTCTGCAGCAGCTGCAAAAAGCCTTTCCCTTGGCCGACGAGTTTCCACGAGATTTCGACAACTTCATCTCATTCATCACTTCGGTTTAACCCGAAAGGGAAAACAATGTCATTGTCTTCAGGAGGCAAAAATGCAGTTTCCATGAGCTGCGCAATCCTGGCATTTATGGCGGCATCTGTAAATATTTGGGCTCGGAGCAATGCCATCGGGCCAGGAGTTGGTGGCACGTGTTGTTTTGCAGCCTTTTGGAGAGATGCTGTGACTCCATCAATGCTGCCACGGGGGTTAAGTCCACCAGCCCCTGCACATAGTGACCTGTGGTGCGTGGTACCACTCTGATTAGGTTTTGATAATCTTCAACCAGTGAGCAAGCCCATTTTATAGTGGTGCAATGAAAGAATTAGTGTTTAATGCCTTTGGAGAAATAGTGCTACAAAAATGACCATTTCTTGTCTAACCAGGAACATCTGTGCTGAGGACAGTTGCTTTTCCAGACGTTTTCTGGGGTGATGTAGCACAAAAGAGGTTCTGTTTACTTGGAGAGCTGGATGTGGAGGCTTGCTTCAGCTTGCCTCCTCCAGAGGAATTTTGAAAGCAAAATGCAGAGGAATAGATATATTTCGGGCTAACACATTGGGAGCAGCAGTTGCCAGAAACCTGTGGTTCGGGGTATTTTTGAACTCGCCTGGAAGGAATGGTCGAATTCCTCAGGTCCTGCTCTCCTCCCTCTCGTCTGCTGATTTGTGCTATTCTTGTCAAGTCCACCAGAAAAAAGCAAGAAAAATATTCACAATGTCCCAGACACGTGCAGAGAGCAGCCCAGCTAATTGCCTGCACTCTGAGTAGGAGTCTGGGTATTTATCAGCTGATTAACTCTTATTTTTAAGTACAGCCAGATGCCAAACAGCCCCATCCTCTACTGAGGATGTTATCCTCATGCACCACTCTGGGCTCCTCATCCTCCAAGAAAAGCTCTAGGAAATCCTTTATTTGAGCTTCTTCATGGAGAAGATTCCCCTCAGGGCTTAGTATGAGTGAGGTCTCCTCGCTTTTGCTCCTAGTGTTGCTAAACAGGGAGTTTCTCTTTTCTAGCAGGGTTTCTAATGTGCATCCTCCAGCCCATCCTGATGTTAAAAGGTTCCTACCTTCAATAACGAGGAGGTAGGAGGTGGGTTCTCTCCAGCAACCAGAAATTGGGGATGCCATGGCCCCATAAGGAGACCTCGGAAGGATGCTGATGGCGTCAGCTCCTGTCCTGGACACCAGCCATTGGCTTCTCCCATTGAGCACGGTGACAACCCCTGCCGAGCCGCAGGCTGAGGATGCTCCCTCCAACGTGTCATTATCCATGTGGGAAGTGCTCAGGACATGCGTCATTTGGCCTCACCTGTCACTGCTGGAAAGAGGGATGATGATCAACCTTGGTGGCCTCCAGCAGTAGGGAAATATACCCTTGGGCATGGAAGGGTGTTGAGGTGGCCGTTTCTGTGGGATATGCCTATTTCAGGGAAGGAAGGGGTCTGTCATTGAGTCCTTCTGTGCCATTTAGGGACATAGCGCGTGCCCAAGGAGACCCTTATGGACACAGCTGTTTCTGTCCAAGTGCCTTGTCCAAGCTCAGAGATATCCCTCAAATAGGGATGCCTCCCCTTCCCTTTCCTGCACGTTCTCCTGGCACTGGATACACTGGGCCTTTGTGGCTTGCGAGAAGGCATAACCGAAAGCATTTTGACCACTTCTTCGCGGGTTCCATTTTTTTTTCATGAAAAAAACGGCTCTGGCAAGTGGTGTTGAGGTGCAGCTGACAAGAGCCTCCTCTCCTCTCCCTTCTCCTCTCCCTTCTCCTCTCCCTTCTCCTCTCCCTTCTCCTCTCCCTTCTCCTCTCCCTTCTCCTCTCCCTTCTCCTCTCCCTTCTCCTCTCCCTTCTCCTCTCCCTTCTCCTCTCCCTTCTCCTCT